CTAGTTTTTTTGTATTTTAAATTGTTTCTTAGGCCTATGCTATTGTATGACATGTATTTTCTGTTTTTGTTTCTTTAATACGATATACATATACATATATACATATACATATACATATATGTAGATGTACAAATACAGTTTTTACAGCAATAACTGAAAGTTCAAATATTTCTCTAAAACGAGATTTTTTTTTCTTTTTTTTTATGTTTTTTGTATTTAGTACATATTTCTTAAATTTTTTCGTTTATTTTCCTTTTAAATGACTTTCTTGGCTTTGTTCAATACTTAATTTCGTTTAGTAAAATTTGATTTCAACAGCTTATAAATAAGGAAAAAAAGCCACACGCGCCCTCCAAGGAGCTTCTCTATACAATAACGGTTTTTTCTCATTACGATTCTTCTAATTCAAGTTTCTTGGTTTACACTTTTAAGGCTTAGGCCTGGAAAATACTTGCAACTTGGTTGGCAATCCTCCAATTGTTTATTTCATTATTTTTCTTCTTCTTTTGCTTGCCATCCTTTTCTTTGAATTTGTTTTTGTTGTTGAAAATTTGACACATTATTTGTTTGAAATAGATTTTGCATTTAAGATTTTATTGCTAATTCACACACAGACTAACACAGAAAAAGATTGAGAGCTAGAGAGAGAAAGGGAGAGAGAGAGAGAGAGAGAGAGAGAGAGAAAAAAGAACTGTGATGTAAGACTGATTTTCCACCAACTGAGAATTGTGTGCGTGTGTGTTCTCAAGATCTCAAGATTGAAATCGGGCTGGGGGCTTAGACGGGGGCTTCGTTCTGGGGTGGGTACGGATTGAACGTGGGGGAGTATCGTATTGCACTGGTTTATCGGCTTATAGGTTGTGTCGGATAGTCAGGTTCGTGTTTTCGAGTTCTATATTGGGTTCTATATTGTCGTGGATGCCTGGGATCAGATCAGATCGGATCCCGCTTAGCTTACATACATATGTAGAAGGAAACCAATGGTTTGAAGGACTTTACTTTGAATAACCATGGGAGCGTTTTCAAGGGGGGAATTCAGATAGTTTTGGGTAGAGTTTGCTATAGAGGTTGCTAGGTTTGTTTGCCTATGACTCCGACGCCATTGATAACATTTATCTAAAAATAATATAATTTTTCGTATGTATAGTATGTACATATATAGTCGTATCCCATTATGATATTGAACGCCTTGATTTCGACAGCAACACAATTATTGTTAAAGAGCTTTTCGCAATTTTACTTTGGACACGATTTCGACTATTTATAAGTTTTATTGTTTTACAATTTATATTCCGGTTGGTTTTTCATTTGTAAGGTCTTCGTTGAATTTAAATTTAGTTGTAGATTTAGTTTTAGTTTATGTTTTGAAAGCTTTCGAGGTTTTTCAGCTAAGGTACAATTTTGCTACAGGTTTTCATCTACTTGGAATAGAGTTCACATCGCCTCACCTGACGACTAGTGTGTTTTCGGTTTCGGTTTCTGCTCCGGGCTCTGCTCCGGTTTCTTCTCCGGTTTCTGTTTCTGTATCAGTTTCTGTTTCAGTTTAATTTGCTGTTTCGGTTACTCCTGGAAGACTACAGCTAAAGTACACAGCTATGTATTGTAAATATAGGGGTTTTAAAATGCAACAATTACTTTGAGTTTAGAGTAATATAGAGAAGGATTCTTTAGTAGGTTTAACTGCGAACTGCAAGCAAATGAAAAACCATTTCCACACTATATACATTGAGAATTCATTTTCAACATTTTCTCTTCTATTTCTAATAGTTTTCTTCATCTTCGTTTGTTGCTTTTGACTGTTAGTGTTTGTGTCACTTATATCTAGCTACAAAAAATTACATTAACACACCAATTCACTTGATAAATACTCGTATTGTAAGCATACAGGTCTACACTGTATGTATGTATGTGTGTACAACGTACATACATGCATGGGATATCGGTTAATGCTACTCCTTTTGTTGTAGTTTTAGTTGCTGTAACTGTTTGCCTTATGCATTGTTGCTGTGGTCCAATTTCTTATTCAAACATTTGTTTTATATTTGATTTGCCTTCAACTTCCAATACTCTCCAACACACTCACTGGTTGCCTGGTTGCACAGACTGGACATACATACATACATGTATATCTCTCAGTATATACAGGCAGACTAGAAGGCATTCATTCCCCATCGCCATCCCCCTCTGATCCCTATACGAGTAATTTGGCAATGGAAATACCCACTTTGCAATGACAACAACCAAATGGAATAAATTCAACAACATGCTCAAGGGAACACTATTACATTTACTGGTACTGTGTCCTCCTCTATGGGTTTGTTATCATTATTTTGATTTAGACAGCACAGAGTTCACATTTAATTATCTACACATAGATCTTTTTTTTAAATATTTTATTTTAAGTAGAAAGTCAAAATGGTTCCAATTAAGTTTCAATTATGTTGAAATTCATATACATATATTTTTCTTTGCTAGTTCCTGTTTTTCGACTTGTTTTTTTTTGTTTTTTGTTTTGTTCTTTAGGTTTTTCTCATTCGTATAAATATAGTTTTTCTGTCATTCAATTTTCTCAATATATGTACTTTCTTTGTTTTAATCATTAAGAGTAAGGTATTAGTTTTAGTTTTAGTTTTCATTGTATAAAGCTTTCGTTTGGTATGCCGTAGACATATACATATAAATTTTCAATGGGCCATTTCTTGGGATGGGGGGAGTACTTACATGCAGAACATGGGTTAAAACATTTGCCTTGGCTTTTGCTTCAAAAACTGAACGAAACTGCTTGCTTGGGTCCATCAGATGGTCAAGCAGCAGCTGCTTGCACTTGCATGACGCGCGAATATACTTACAGAGATAGAACTGCTTGCAAGCAGTGTTTGTTTGGGTTCGGTGTTGCGGCTAACCCATTAAATGCCACCCTGCTAATTATGCAGCCAATGGAGTATGTTCATAGCTGTTTCTGTTGTTGTTGTTGTTGTTGTTGTTGTTGTTGTTCTTGCTGGTGCTCTGACTGGACTGCTGCGATGTCGCTGCATTTTGTTGCAGTTATATGTAGTCGCTGCATAAACACATCCACACTCTTGACCATAATTGCATATTTATGGACATTTGGTAGCTATGTATATTCATTTTTTTTGTTTTTGTTCTGTCTTTCTGTTTGTCAGAATCGCGTTGCTTTTTCTCGTTGCGCATTTCATTTTGTTTTTATGCAAATTTCTGCTAGTATGCGTATGTGGTTGAATTTGAGTGTATGCGTGTGCGTGCGTGTGTGTGTGTGTGTGTGTGTACCGGGCCAGCAGCAATAAGCAGAGAAAAAGAGGAAGAGAAAGAGAGAGAGAGAGAGAGAAAGAGAAATAAAGCAGATATTTTAATTGCCATACACGAATTTCAATTCCCATGCGTTTGTATCCTTGTTTGCTTTGTCTTGCTTGTCTGTGTCTGTATGTGTGTGTGTGTGTGTGTGTATGCGTGTGTGTTTCCTTGTTGTGTCCAATGTGGCATAATGAAAACAACAACAACCAAAAGCATGTCAAGCAATAACAGTTAGCAAAAAAAGTTAACGCTTAGCAAACTTTGCCCAACTCGCATCGTCAATGGGCTCCTGCTCCTCGAACAAAGTTTGAAAAGAGTTGGCACACACACATACAAATTCGTTTATAATACATATAGAGTGGAGTAGTATAATGGCATGACAGGCGTCGCATCCAATTAAATTTGCCCAATAAAGAAGAAGAAAGTTGGCTAAAATACGAGTACGAGTACGAGTAATCACGCAAAAAGCGGCTACCTAAATGCAACACATACATATGTACATATTTTTTGCCAAAGAGTTTCACATTTTTAATCATTTTACGAGTATCTATGTATGTATCTGATCCCGTTTCGAGTCGAGCGAAATACTATTTAATTTGCATTTCAATGACAGCGATTTTTTCTCCTGTCAAACGACGACACTTTATTTGCTGAAAGTGTCCTCTACTCTGTTCATTTAATCTGCATACTCGTTTCATTTCGTTTCGTTACGTTTCGTTTCATTCAATAAGCAATAATAATATTACCACACTTTTTCACAATTCTGTATCACTTTTTACCGTGTGGGGTTTTCGATTAATTTCCATTTGACATTGAAAAGTGCTGCGCTGAAATATAATTAAAGAATAAACATCACTTTTATTCGCGGAATTTCGTTGAAGAGTGAAAATTGTTGCATTTCGACAGACCAGACCTCTCTACTGTTTCAAGTGGCGACTACATACATACATACATACATATATGTAGTAAAGTTGAATTTATTTTTTTTAGGATTGGTCTCTGGTCTCACACTCGCACTCCCACACTCACACCCACATTCAGAATCACTTTGATCCTGCTTGCGCTTACAATAGATATCGTTTCTTGAGCAATACATCTGCAGACAACGTTCGTTTCTCCTGCCTCGAGTTTAACCCACTTTATTTTACAGTTTTGTATACTAGGCATATTCTTATTCATACAATATATTGTATTTCTTCTGGTTTTGGTTTCGGTTTCGGTTTTGTTTTTCCATCACAGCTAACGTCAATTTGTAACTCTAGGACATCTAACAACATTTATGTATATGAATATTATGGTTGGAGTAGGGGAAATGTTAAACAAACGAAAATCAAACGAAAAGGATACAATTTGTAAACATACTCTTTTCAAATAAGTTTATTTGGGGCCCTTCTGTTATGCAATTCATCAACCTATATATAATTTCCATAGATATCTATATTTAAGACTATAACACATTTGACAGTTTGCAACATCGATCAATGTACACATACATACATACACACACAGAGAGAACAAAGAACTCTGATAACTTAATTTAGCTAATAAAAAATAATAACGATAACAATAATTATAGGTAATAGTAACAGAAATGCAAAACAAATTTAGCTTTAATAAAACACACATACGTATGCATAAACAATATATATAGATATATGTATGTTCTGTAGGTACTATATATACGAGTATGTTTGGTATATATTATTTATATCTAGAAACGAACAACAACAACAACTCGACCGATTCAAAAGGTTAACTGAAATGGCGAATGGCGGAGAGAGCGTTTGGCATTCGGCTTTGACTAGATTACTTTTCGGGACTCAGGGACTCGGGGACTCAGGGATCGGCGAGAATACGGATACTCACTGCACAGATTAGCAGGAGACACCCTGTTTGGCCACCGTGTACCAAGTGCTGACCGTCACCAGCGACGGCGAGTCCGGCGTGGCTGGCAGCTGCTGTTCCTCCTCTCCCTCGCCCTCTCCCTCTCCCGGCCCACCCACAACCACGTGCAATGGGGGCAAAGGCAGCTGAGCTACCTCTACGCCTCCTCCGGCTGCCATTCCTGCCGCCCTTGGTTGGACTCCGGCTGTGGCTGGACTTCGAGTGAGCTCTGTTCCTTCTGGAGCGTGCGCATCCTTTTGCTGCTGCTGCTGCTGCTGCTGACGTTGTCGGGATTTTCTTTTGCTCTTTTTTGATCCAGCAGCCATCTTGGGCTGCAACTGCAGCTGCGATTGTAGCTGGGGCTGTGACTGCGGATGGTGGAAGTGCATGGGCTGCGGTGTGTGCAGGTCGCGACCCACCTGCGGCCCCACCTGCGGGCAGCGGAAGCGAATGGCCTGCTCGTTGGCCACGTTCAGCTCGGGCCAGCGCGTTGGCTGATGCTGATGCTGATGCTGTTGCTGGTGTTGCCCCGTCCTCTGATGATTTGGCTGGCGCTTCCTGCTCTTACTGCGCTTGTGCGACTTGGACGTGGACTTGGAACGGGATCTGTATTGGCGCATTGGTCGCTGAAGGACTTCCCATTGGGGACGTTGGCAGTGCCGACAAATAGCCGTGCGACTAATGCCGTCTTCATCCTCATCATCATCATCGTCAGTTTTGTCATCCTCCTCATCATCGTACTCATCGTACTCCTCTTCGTGGTGGTGGTGGTGGTGGTGGTGCTGCTGGTGGTGCTGCTGCTGCTGGTGGTGGTGGTGGATGTTGCAGTTCATTGTGCTGGCCGTTGCCGCTGATGTTGTTGTGGGTGTGGTGCTGCCGCCGCTGCCACCGTCCATGTCGATGATGTGGCAGCCTATGGCTGCCGCTTGCTGTCTAGTGCTATGTTGTTGCTGTTGTTTTTGCTGTTGCTTGTTCTTCGTCTTGTGGTTTGACTTACGTTTCTCTGGCTCCTGCTGTCGTTGCTGCTGGCTGCGACTGCGTCGCGGCCGTCGCACCGTGTACTCATCGCCCTTGTCGGTCGGATATGGTCAGAATGATGTATCAAATACGGACATAGATCTGGAAATGGCATCATCGTTGCGACAGGCCTCTAGGAACTCCTCAAGCGTCACAACGCCATCGCGATTGATATCCATTTTCTGTGGAATAGAGGAGGATTTCAATTGGAATAAACCTAGCCTTGTCTGTAATGCAATGACAGTTTGAGATCTTCGTGATGGACTGTGAATGATTTCGAGGGCCATCTATCATCTATCGTCAATTTCTCATCGCTCTCCCAAAACATAATTGAGAAGTGTCGCGTGCGAATTTGCTTTGCCCAATTTATTTCGAGTGCTATCCCCAAGCCCCAGCCTAAGCCCAAGCCCAATAGCAACAAGGCAACGACCTCTAATGACAATGCGTGACTGGCAAGCCAAGTCGCTCCGCTCCCAAGTGTTCCCCTCCCCCCGGCGGGCAGAGAGCCGTTCTGGCCAGCAAATTGAAATAGACAATTGGCATTTGCATAATGCAAAGTAAATAAGTTTCATGTTCGTGCACTCGTCCAGACACAAATTCAAATCGTATAATTACCATAAATAATCGCTGCGAATGGTTTTAGATTTCCCCAGCAGCAGGGCCGGGCAAGCGTACAGGGGGGAGGGGCGGCAGGGGGAGGGGGGGGGGGACACATACCTGAAAGATTTGCTCCACTTTGCCCTTGATCTTCTCCTCCTCGGGATACTCGTCGGGCAGGCGGCCCATTAGCTCGTATATGGCAGTCACAATGTCAGTCATTTCCTCCCTCGTAATGAAGCCATCTCCATTGATGTCGTACAGCGAGAAGGTCCAGCGTAGTTTCTCCTCCACGGAGCCACGCGACAATATCGAAAGTCCTTGAACGAAGTCCTGTGGCAGCAACAACAAAAAAAAGACAAGAAAAAGCAAGCTCGCGTAAGTACACAGCTGGAAAAGAGAGAACCAAGAGAGGGGCACGGGCACACCAGTGAGGTGAGAGTGAGGCCCTCAGCGAGCCCCTCAGTGAGCCCCTCAGACATGGAGACATGGGACATACAGAATTAGAGGTATAAAAGAAATTGAAAATATGTTTTAAGAAATTGCTCGTAAACCGCAGCCCATGAGCACGTGCTGTACATCGTCTTCCTGGCGATAGCCTTGTCATGCCTCATCCCCCATCCCCCATCTGTTTTCTGCTGCTGCTGTTCCTGCTGCGAGTACTGCTTCTGAAGCTGAAGTAGACATTTATTCCTATGCTTTGTATGACAAATGTACCTAGATAAGAACTTGCGGTGGAGTGGGCGAAACTTTTTACGACCCTCTCCTCTCAGGACTTGTACTGTAGGAGGTGTTGAGATATTTCGGCAAGGCCCTAGCCACAGCTGACAGAAGACTGAGTCTCGGAGTTTGCATACTATCCCGGACAAACCGAATGGGAGACGAGACCAGAGGCAAAAGCGAGCCAGCAGAAAGTGGCCAGGGGCAGTAGCTGGAGCTGGAGCAGGAGCATCATTTGTGTGTTGTTCTGGCCATTTGGGCAATTGCAATGTCCAACTAATTTATCAAACCGAAATGGAATAGAAAAACTGGCACGAGTTTCAACGAAAAACGATGTTAGACCAAGTACAAGACACATCACCAACTTTCACCATTCGACGTAGACAAATGGCAGAGAATATCAAAATGGCACAACAACAACAAGTTTAAAAATGGAAAATCCTATAGGAGTATTAAAGGGAAGCAAAGTTTGGAAGTGTCCCCTCTCAAGCGAATACTGACCAGCATCGGGGGCTGTACGAGCATTCCATGGTGGTTGTTGGAATCGGAATTTTTCTTCGAAAAATACTTTCTAACGCGGATCAAAGTTTTCTAGAGTTTTCTAAATAATATTAAGAAAATTGTTTTCCATATCAGGGATTGCTCCACAGAAAACACATATCTATATATTTTGTCCTTGCCATTAAAAAAGGTTTCCAAAATTTCCGAAATATGGAAAATGTTATGCCACAGTTTGCTGGTATTTTCGCGAGCGTTGGAAGTAGATGAATGCCCTCAATTCTTATTTTTCTTAAGTGGCCGATAATCCAATAGAATGGCGGTGTGCCCCGCTGCTGGGGGCATGTCAGGCTCCGCCATTTTGCACTTCTTGTGGCACTTCTGACTAGCCGTAAGTAATTTTTCACTGCTTTCTGCTTTCAGCATTCAACATTCATACGAGTAGATGCCACAATTGCTGCTCTCCGTACTGTATTCACTGTACTGTACTCCTGCTTTGGTATGACGCCTTCTCAATTGCTTTTATCTCACACACTTGAGCAATTTATCTTTTCTGCCAGCGTAAACAGGTCGCTGGCACTCTCTTTGCCTTCCCTCTTGGCGTATTGGCCCCAACCCACAATTTCAGTACGGCCATGACAGCATTGTGTGTTTGTGGCTCTCATTGTTCTTGTTGTTAGCTATTCCCTCTGATGGTGGGCCCTCTGTGTGTGTTCTACTCCTGTTGGCAGTTTAATAAACGCGACTGTCATGCAAATCGCGCATAAAACACCTTGCAACAATATGTGAAACTTAATTGAAAAGCGGAAGTCTACTTAGTCCGACCGTCACATACAAAACTAGGGGTTTGCCTTTGCCTTTTACCGGGCACTTCCTGCCCTTGCCCCATGCCCGTGCCCCGTGCCCCTTGCCCCTTGCGCCTTGCCTTTCGCCTGCCCCGCGAGAGGCGGTTGTACATGCTTTATATCGAGTACGTGCCTTGTAGTCATTACAATTTTGAGGTCATTATTCAACGGCGAAAATGGCGAGGCCGGCAAAAAGCTAAAGGCTCACAGAGATAAGCTGCTTTGGAGGGGCAGGGAGGACTTTCTTATGTGTATGCATGTGGGTTTATATTTCGTATGCGTGTGTGTGTGTGTGTGTGTGTGTGTGTGCACGACTGTACATTTTGGTCTCTCTCCCTCAGTGATGGACTGCGGACGTGATTGTGCTTATTATTCGAAGTACGTGAGATGTAAAGGGCCCTTTTATCCCTGTTCGTGTCACGAGTTCCTCTCTAGCAAGGCCTCGCCTCCTTTTCCGCCTTTTCCTCCCGGTTCTGTCCATTCTGGAGGTCTGGTTCTATTGTTTGACTTGGGTTTTTGCGTTTATCTGCGTCGCTTTTTTATGGCGTGAAGGGACACACACTAGTGTCTTCTGTCTTCTGTCTTCTGTGGGTATCCAGCTCTGCCTGTGCTCCTCTTAGTCGCTACCACAGGACCCCTGCATGACAAAGTTGGCGTTAAAATCGCCATAATTCATCGTTTCAATGGCGCTGTGTGCTTTCTCCAGAACACCAGAGCCACCTCCCCACGCCGCAACACATTCCCCTCTCTCGCTGCGGCTGGGGCTGGGGCTGGCTTGAAGGCGTCACGGCCGGAAGTGGAGTTCATGTTCGGACATTGCAGGGGCAGTCAAGACAGTGAATAAAGTGGAGAAAAATTATTTGCAATTTGCATGCGCCCAAGGGGGGTTGGGGGTGTGGATGGGGCCAGACGACAGTCAAACAAAAGGGCGATCGAGTGGGAGGGAATGGGAAAGAGAGGGTGCAGGGGGCCCAGAAATTCCGCATTTCTCCGTCTCACAATCTGCAGAAATGTATTCGATTTTTTGCTTTGTCTTTGCTGGAATAGAAATGTTGACAATGACAGGCGACAGCAGAGAAACACGCGGCATCTAGTGGCAACTATATCTCTGTCCGCCCACCCCCCCCTGGAATCCCTCACTCTCCAGTTCCCTCCTCTGATTTCAATTTCGAGACATTTTCCTTGATTTTTGATTTTGGCGCATTATTTTTTTCGAGGTTTTCCTTTCGCTTTGGCTGCTGCCATCCGCAGTGTTGCCCGCCAGCGAAAATGAACGAAATAGCTGCCAACAGAGAGAAAGGAAATTTGTGGAAAGTAAAAAGAAAGCTGGCAAAATGCAGCGGAAGCTGCCATTAAATGTGCCACATTTTTCGCTAGCAACTATCTTTGGTTTTTTTGATTTTATCTAGCTTTTCTCATGGATTCTATATACTGTATGTATGATTAATTTTGAAGGCCAGCCTTCTGAACTGCGATCGAATAAAGAGTGACAAGGAAGTTTAACATATTTTCCGGGTTTGAAAATAAAATGGCTATAAGTTGCACAACCACAGTGCAAGTCCTGTTTTGTCCTTGGTTCATTTCTGTGCTTTTGGTGCTCCCAATTCTACTTACTAATAAATATGTATGTACTGTTCTTACTCAATATTGCTATTCCATACATCCAATTTTAATTACTTGTTCTACTTACTATGATTCCTTTGGCGTTTAACTATTCTTTAATTTGGTTTTACTACTGCACAAAATTCATTTTCTTCCCATTATACTCGCAGATCTCCCCAGACTTGTAATTATACTGCTCCTCAAAACGTATGCCTCCCTTCCCAATAGCCGAACACTTTTCTGGGGCCGAAAATGGGCCAAAGGAGGCGCCACGCTTTGATTACTTAAAGGGCGAGGACGAGTAGGCTGCGAGAGGGTCTCGAGTCTTGTTGTGTGCTCTGTACTTATTACAACTTTTATGAGCCGGCAGTTAATAGAGCGCTCAAACATCTATGTATCTGGCAGAGCAATGGACTTTGGGCTTTTTGTTCTCCGCCGTTTTGCTGCTGTCACTAATAAACCGTAACTAAATGCGATTACCCGGGACGAGGAGGAGCTGAAGGAGGAGTTGCCATGGCTGTTGCTTGCTTTGCGCATTTTGCAGCATCATTTGGCGCCACTCTACCACTCCAGCACTCCCGCTCATCCTTCCCAGGGAGGGAGCCAAATCAGCTTCATTTAGAGACGACTCACGATGCCACACAACTTTTGCTTCTGGACTCCCAGTTACACACCGGACTCGACTTGGCTCGACTCAGCTGTCAGCCATATTTTATACTTAAAATGTCTAAAGTAATTTCATTGTACTTAGGTCCATTCCTCCTACTTCTTCGGGGATGGGATGCTGCTCTTGCAGGAGTTCCCCTTCTCACGAGTTTCTCTTTGCGCCGCATCATGGTCCGAGGATTAACAGAGAGCGGCGACCAAGTGAATTAAATTGAATTGTTTGTCTCGAAGTACTCGAATTCTACGCACTTGCCTTGCCCATTGAGTGGCAGGATTAATTATGGATAACGATGCCCCATTCAGTGAGAAACAGCATTCTGATAAACTGCAGTGATGACTGCCAGCTGTCGACTCTGGACCCCGGACTCGTCCGTTCAATTATGTAGTTAGCCACAAATTTAGCGCAGCTCTCAGTGCTCCTGAATGACATACTGCTTCGAGCACACACACACATGGTCATGCCATTAAGGGATATTTGCTTTGGCTCGATTCGATTCGATTTAATTGCAAATGGCTCGGGCTCAGTGCCACATTTTGTTTGTACGAAAGTTGATTTCTAAGACAATTTCTCAATTTCCTTCACTCTGCTCTGCTCCCCAGTCCAATCCGAACCGCAATTTCGTCCCGGAACATATGAAAGTCCATTAGTTCGACTCCTTGCAGACCTACCGTATAGATGTTGTGTCTCGGCAGCCAGACGGACGGAGACGAGGCACGGAAATGAGCTGCTCAAATGTTTCCCATTGCATTGCCCTCAGTTTGAGAATTTGATATGGTTTGGGGACATTGTTATTACCAAGAGTTGTTGGTTTGGCTTGATTCGGGGGGATTTTGCTGGTGCTATCGATATGAAATAGTATCTTTGATCAGCCATCTTTAAGGAATAATTTGGAAATACGATTTTTCCCTATTGTATACCAGAATTTTTCACCAAGAGTGGAACAAGAAGGCTTATAACAACTGTTTTCAGATAGTATCTAGAGCTAGAACTCACCTCAAAGCTGACAATACCGCTGCGATCCTGATCCAGTGTATTGAATACATAATGTGCGTATAAGGTTGGGTTGGCTGTTGTTAAATGTCGTTGTTGGATGGCGTCGTACATTGTTGTTGGTGTGCGTTTAATGAAAGCAAAGAAAAGGAGAGCGTTAAATGTGAGAGTTCCAATCGCTGGCTGGCTGGCTGGCTGGCTAGCGGCAAAACGAGACCAATTAGGTCTCAACTGAAGCATTTAACATTTTGCTTTGGTAACATTATCAATTCAACTCTACACATACATATACACATACACAAAAGGAAGCTATAAAATACATAGTTCGATAGTTGGCCAGCATAAAGATATGAATGGGGTCCTGGTTTTTGGGTCGAATCTTTTATGTGGGTCGTCCTCGTCGTCGTCTTCGTCTTCGTCTGCGTCTTGGCAACAAAAACTTTTCGCTTTTCCTTTCAGTTTTGTCAACCATAAAAGTTTTTCCATGTTTTCCTTGAATCGTTCCTGTTTATCACAGGAAAAGTCAACATTTTTCGCCCAAAAGTTTCAATGGAAGCTGTGGCTGGGGCTGGGGCTGGGGCTGTGGCTGGGGATGGGGCTGGGGCTAGGGCTGGGGTGGAAAACAGTTCGCAGCTAATTATGCGAGTGTCTCTTGTGGCTGCTGATAAGCTCTGGCACTGGCACGGCCCCTGCCCTTCCTGCTGTCCCCTGGCGCTGCCGCTTCCATTTGAACATTCTCAATTCCCCTTGCGGCTGCTGCCACAGACAAAAGTGTTGCCTACTTATGAGGGCTCAACGAGTTCTGGTTCTTGTTCTGGTGCTGGGAGATCTCTGACTTCTTTTTGGGTTTGCGCCGAAAGCACTTAGCGCACTTACTCGCACTGCTCCTCTTCAGCCCCCCTCCTCCTCACCAGTACGGAGCGAAAAAATGTCTTTATCTGGCCATCACATAACGTTTTGATTATTTCATTCCCATTCCTCTCACTCCTTGCTTTTCCGTAATTTTACGATTCGCGTTTATGTTTATGACTGTTGCTGTTTTTGGATGCTTTTGAATGCTCTTGGATGCTCTTGGCTGCCGCTGATGCTGAACTTTTTTGTCGGTTTATGCGCTCACGATGTTTACACCTCTTTGGCGGGTCAAAGACGTCAGTTCATAAAGTCGCATCAAATCTCATTTAGGAGCGAGCTTTCATACCCCGTCACAAAGCTGTAAGCTGGCCGCAAAGGAAAAGAGCCAGAATTGCCCTTTTTAGTGCATTTTAAAAGTGAGAGACCATAAAGCGAGAGCTCACATATCCGAATTTAATTCTCTATACTGTACACTGTATACTGTTCCTATTCCAACAGAATAGGCTTCCAGTTCGATAACAACTTAAGGAAGAATGCCAAAGTAATGCAATGGTAACTGCCTGAATAGCTCTGATAACTCTCTTAAATTAGCGAGTATGCCGACAGCACCTTCAGCAAGAGAGTGGCATAAAATAGTTCATGATTTGGTAGCTTTTCTTATATTTTAGAGCCAACTGAAGGATTGAATGATTCTGCGTAGCCGAGGATACAGGATCGAGGGCTGAACTTTAAACTTTGGACCACTTTAAAGAGGCGAAACGCACTGTATGTACGAGCACAGGGGAGTGTATAAATTTATTTGTCAAAATTTATTGTCGCCGTTTGATGCCTAATGTGTTTTTATGACGCATGACGCAGAGTGCCACGTCCACACGCACAAACTCCCATTCAGAGATGGAGATGGGTTGGGGCTGGGCTGGCAAGGTCAAAGCTCAATGCCAAAAGATGGCATCTGCTCCCAGCTGCTCTCCGTGCGCGTCCGCGTCCGCGTCCCGAATTTTGTTTCTGGCGCTCGTTCGCGAACAAATCAAAAATGACTGCAAATGTGCCATGTAAAAATTGTTATAAAATTTGCGCAGAAATTTGCCAAAAAGGAGCGAAGCGCGAGTCTTGCAAAAAACAAAAAGCGACAAAGCGCGGGGGAGAGAAGCCTTAGAGAAAGAGTCTGGCTGAGGGATGAAGACGGAGCTGGACCTGGAGCTGAAGCTGCAGCTGGAGCTGGAGCAGGGGCCAAAAGTGATAAATCACCAACTTTGATGATGCTTTTTTTTGTTTCTTTTTTGCTTCTGGTTCGCCTTCGGTGGGGCTGCCAACTCGTATTAAGATCTGGCAGCGTGTGTGTGCGATGGGGATGAGGGGGATGCGTGGGTAAAGCAGCTTATCAAAATAAAAAATGATTTCATTATTTATTTTTCATCAGATAACGGCCAGACATGATGAAGAATAAGAATAATCAGCGGGGGGGCTGCCATGAAGAGGGTGTGCCGAAAAAGAAGAGGAGCGAAGGCGGAGCAGAGGACGGGAAGGACGTTAGTCTCATGTTTACTTGGAATTTCTTATTTCTGTTTCCGGCTGTCGATGGAAAGCATACTCTCCCCTCCCCCCATCGTCCCTCAGGCGTTCCCTTCTGTGCCCCACATATCTGGCTTCGGCTCTGGCTCCTCTTCCCGCCCTTGTTGTGGCAGTCAAAATAGGTTTATTATAATAATTCAGTGCCCCAAACATGTGTAGCAATAACTTGTCTACTTCTGCACTGCCTGGAGCGGGGGAGGGGCTGAGCAGTACAAATGTGGCATAAATAGGATTTATGCTGGTCGTCCTCGTCACGTGGCCATGCACTCGAGGTGGGCATGAATTCTCCCAGCAATTTGAAGCATTCTCAAAAGAATCAGTCCGAAACTATAGACGATGTGCAGTGCGTGGCAGGCATTAGTATAAGGCAGCTGCAAAGTGCCGTGGCTTCGGATATCTTGAAAGTTAATCAGCTATTAATGTGCTCCTTTAACTCTTCCTTTGCAATTTTTGCATCTTTGGGCACCAATTATACATCTCTCTCTTCCATGTGATTGATACTCGTTACATCCCGAAGCACTGTCCAGTCTAATTAAACAGTTCCGTGCCTCACTGTACCCCCTTCGCGCGGTAATGTATCAGCAATTCAGTTAGTTACTGGCCGGCAAAGGCAAAGGAATTTCGACCCTTTCGCCCGGTCTCATCATCATCCTCAACTTCCACCCATGGCTGCCGTCTAGCATCTACCACCGGTAGCACCGCCTTTGCAGTTGTAAATGTAAATTGTGCTGAGGGGAAACGAAAAAAATATGGAAAAAATTCACTTGTTGTGCAAACGAGGTCAAGTGGGTGGCTTGGTTAACACTCCCCTTGCCCCTTGCTCCTTGCCCCTTTCCCATTTCTCTTCTTGCTGGCCATTTCCCCATCCCTCCTGTCCCGCAGCAGACCGCGACTTGTGAAACATGATTTTGCTTTTTATGCTTTTTTGCTAATTTGCTTTCTGCATTTCATATTTTTTGAAGCCAAGGGCCAGGCCAGGGCAGCCGTCCAAACAAAGAGTCGCCTCTTTGCCTTTCTGTATACACGTATAACCAGCATCCTCCTTCTCCTCCGCCTCCTCCTCCTCCTCCTTCTCCTCCGCCTCCTCCTCCTCCTCCTCCTCCTCCTACGTATCATCATCATCATCACTCTCGCTATGATCATCTGCAGCAACTCTTTGGGGCCACCGCCGTCTGCCCAAGGGCCATACATTTTTATCAATGGCATTTGCCTTGAGTTGACTTTTGGCCAGCTCGAAGAGCAACACAGGGACAGGATACACAGGGGAGCAGCGGAGGTCCGGAGGTGGGAATGGGGTCTCCAGCCAATTGGCCTTTGTTTTGGAGCTCTTTTGCTAATCATAACTAAGGCAAAGGGAACATAAATTTCATTTTCATGTGAATGCACTCCTCCCTCAAAGTGCGTATCGGTTCAATGATTCCAAAACCGATTAAGGCTAAGTGAAACTTATGGAATGGAGCGCCAGGTGGAAGGATAACAACTGCAGTGCCATTCCGAATCGATTGGTAAAAATGGAACGTATGGAATTCACTGAAGGGATATTTGATTGTTTTAATTGGAACCTGTGTGGACTGGGGTGGAGTCGAAGCAGCATTTGCCAGGAAAATGTGAATGGATGGGAGAGTATATATGGCCTGAGATCCTGCGAGCTGGGGCAAAAGGAATAAATGGGGTGCTGAGAAGAAACACTCGTGGGACGATGAAGAGGAAACGGAAGTGAAGAAGGTGTACTAAAATGAACTCCACACATCACACCACAAATCTAGCTACGAAAGTGTAAGAAAAAACACTAGGACAGAGAATGAAGTGAGACTTTACACTAGGACTGGGTGAGTGAGCATTCGTATGTGGCTAGGAACAACGTTTGAAACTTGGCAGGCTTTAGGCAGTCATTAGTTCAAGTCAGAAACAGTAACGAAACAAAGTATACTGTACCGCACGAACCTCCCTGTGGAAAAAACTGAGAGTAGATCACTTTGAAGGTGTCCTCCTTGACGACGCCCGTGGGGCACTCAGCCTTAAAGCCGCGATAAATTCGTTTGATCTCGTCCTCCGTGAAGCGGGTCGCCCGACTCAGGGCGCTCAGCGAGTCCGGTCTGTAGCGTGCTGGCGTCTCGAATTCCTCTAGTTCCGAATCTGCAATTAAAGGGATACAGACAGAAGTTGGTCAGAGAGTCCTTTGACAAAGAGGCAAATGCGCACATTGGAAAAAGTTAAGACTGCAATTTTCATAGAAAGCTTAATGTTGCATCTAAATAATGAGGATCTTAGCTATGGTTTTTACAAGTATTCTTGCTGATCTTTGATCTCAGTATGAAGAGTATTATGCATCTGTTCTCCTTCTCAGAGTCCACAATATTAAACTCTAGTTGCTTTGAGGCCTACGTTCTTTAAGAATGTGCGAGTTCAATGAGAACACTCCCAAAGTCCATACACTTTTAATCTTTAAACTTAGTTTCACACAAAACCATCTTTCTGGTCCAGGGTGAATCCACATAAAGGGCCAGAATAAATATACTTTCGTCGTTTGCCTTTTGGGCTTGTTCCAGTTAAGTCTGCTTTCTGCACCCGCCCCACAGGCTACCCACACTGCCCTCGAACCCTGTAACTGCCACTTTCCGACCACCGTGCCACGACACACGCGATTTTGATCTGTTGAGCCGCTCGATGTGCCGATGTGTTGAATTGACTTGCCAGTTGCCTTAAGTACCTTGTAGTACTTTGCCTGTCGAAAGTTTGCGCCTCTTTGTTCGAGTTTCGTGGTTAACGAGGGCCTTTAGGGAGTGAAGGGGCGTGGGGGTGGTTCTCGTTCTGCTGTGGTTGTGGGGGTTGAGGTGGTATCCTCAAAAAAGGTAAATGATGCTTGACTTTTCTTTTTGGGCCTCTGCCCTGCGTCGGTTTCTTTCAAAGGCGAGAAAAAAAGTTCTTTGTAGCTGAGGCGCCTCAATTTTAGTTAATTAAAAGTTTTACCCTCACACAGGCACACACGCACCCACACAGAAACACACACATAAACACACACCTAGAAGCGCTTACCTACTCACACAGATTCACGGACACGTTGGGACAGGGATATGCAGCCGGCAACAGAGAGCGCTTTTTGGTAAGCGACAAACGGGGTTCACGCGCTTGACAAATGGCTGCTTAAAAATGCATGAAAATATGCGAGCGGCGACAGGGAACACACAGGAAGACAACAAAAGAGAGAGAGAGAGAGAGAGAGAGAGAGGATAGGGGGCTTTGGTGAGAATTATGGACTGAGGAGAGGTGGTTTACGAGAGCAGCATTGTTCTCGCGCCAATGCCCATTTTACTATAGCAAAAGGCAAAAATCAAGAACAGTGTGAAAGTTGGAAAGAGAGGGAGAGAACTACAGAGTTAGAAAGAGATATAAAGAGTGAAGAGGGACAAATAAGTGAGGAGGGCACTGGGGTAGATGGACTGCAATTGTCGTTGCCTTTGGCGTTAGATTTTAATTTTCTTGCCGGCTTATGCCACACACAAGGGCACAAGGACACACGTACACGCCCGCTCAGCACACATGGAAAAGCACTCTTGCTTATGCAATTTCATTTTAGGCGAAAGTGGAGAACTAAATACCAAAAAGGAACCTACAAGAGGAGCCACAGCCCGCAACCATACATTTTCATTTTAATTTCTTTTATTGTGTTTTCGTACCGAAAGAATTTTAGCCTAATACCTCCGCAAAGGAAAACCCCAGAGGAATTTAGTTCAAAGTGGAAGCGCATAAATAGAGAATTACAATAATCACAATAGAGAAAAACCAAAACAATCGCTAATTAAATACAATTAAGATCAGAAATTGGTCTGAAAACTAATTTAGTTGGTATCCCTATACTCTCACTCTTATCTTCCCACTTCATTAAGATAAGTTTCTTCAACCTAATTTGCTCTTTCGTGGGAAATCCGCTCCCGTTTGCCTCTGGCTAAGCAGATTTCTTATCTTCCTGTCCATTTTCTCTTACTTACACTCTCGCTCCTTTCAGCTTTCCATTGCCCTGTCCTTATATTTCTCTCCGACACACACTTTGTCTGTTTATTGTTTCCATTTGGGTATTTCTTCCCATTTTCATATTTCTTCTCGTTACACTCGAGTGGATTTGCATTCGCATTCTTCAGTTTTACCCGCAGTCGCCGTTTTGTGTGTGTGTGTGTGTGTGTGGCGGTTTCGGGTCTGAATTTTATGTCTCTGGCATCTTTTGAACATTGTCAGCACAATGTTGACGAATTGCATTAGTTCTAATATATATTCATGTGCAGTTGGCACTTTTTTTGGTTTTGTTTGGCTTTAATTTACCAAAAGTTCCTTCAATTTTTCTGCTGCCTTTTCGGGGTTCCCCTTGCCCTGTGACCATTTCCACATTGGCCAAAATTGTGTGTGTGTGTTTTTTTCTGTTTTGGCGCTTTATTATCACCTGCTGGTGCCTCTGGGAGAGGCAATGTCAAGAGCAAACAAAATATTCCCCTAAATGTCTAAATTATTTGTGGCACAAACAAAGTTGCCGTTGTTCGGGCCGCGACAGCTGCCCCCAAATGCAGGGATTACTTTTTTTCAACTGCTTTCACAGTGGTGTGTGTCTGCGCATGCAAGCAGTGCATATGCATAGGTAGTCATGAATGCCCAAATGCAGGCATTACTTTTTTTCAACTGCTTTCACAGTGGTGTGTGTCTGCGCATGCAAGCAGTGCATATGCATAGGTAGTCATGAATTCTGAACTGATCAGATTTTTTGTGCATTGAAAGATTTACGTACCTAAATGTATTTACACCTAATTTCTGAATATTTTAATTTACTTTTTTATCTTTGACTGCACGAACATTTTTTACAGTTCTCTGCTAAACAGCCATAATCAAATGTTTCAAAAATATGAATTAATACATAAGTATATTTGAAATGTTTTAAATTCAGTCTTCTACATTATTAACATATATATCACGACCCTCATTTTGCTGCTAGTTCCATGTTGCTCGGATGAACCGATCTTGGATCTAAAGTAGATGCTCATGCTCACGCTGGTGGCCACCTGCTGAGGTTAAGGTGCGAACGGCCATGCCTCATTTAGTTTGCTGTTGCGGCGAGGCTCAGAGCTAGGCCGGGTCGGGTGCAGTGGGGTGGGGTCGGTTCGGATCTGATCTGGCAATTGGCAAACATAACAATAAACAACAGGATGGCAGTGGAATGGCATTTTGCGGTGAGTGGGGCTGGGCGTGGCGGTGCGAGCAGCGGGTGAAGGGCCACCAGAGCAGAGGCATTCTCGGATTGCCATTGTTGCCAGTGCAAGTTCAGATAAAGCACAAAACACACGGAACCACAGATGCAGTTACAATTGGTATGCCGACGCCCTGCCCACTTCCCACCCTCCGCCATCAATCCGCCACCCCTGACCGCGCGCCTCACCCCGCATTGCATGAGCTCGCATAATAAGTTCCTGTTTATCTCGGCTCGCTTGGTGTTTGTTTGGCCAACGTTGGCTGCAGTGCCCTTCGTCATCCCTCTCCCTTTCTCTGTCTCCGTCTCTGCTTTCAATGTGTGTGTGTGTGGGTGTGTGTGGCTGCGCAGGTGTCATGTTTCCGTTTCCGCTGCAACAGCAACAGCAGCGCCAGCAGTGCCAGCAGCAGAACCGCCAGTCAAGTGCAAATATTTTTGCATGCTGCACCTCACACACACACACACACACACACAGGGAAAGAAAAACCGCAACAGACTCCTCCAACAACCCACCTTTTGGGGGAGGGACATTGGATTTTATTAGGTCTGACTGGGAATGGGTTCTTGTTTGTGTTATTTTTACCACTGCAGAAGAAAAAGCAGCAGCGGCAGTGGCAGTGGAAGTAGCAGAGGCAGTAAAAATATTTGCTTTCGTTCAGTTTCAAGTGTGCGGCATGTCGATAAGTGCCAGTGACTGCAGTTTTTCCAAATGTTTACCTCGCTTTACGCCCGAACTCAAATCTTTTGTTTACTATAAAAGTGCAAATTAATAAAAAATATATATGATGCTCTGGGGGACGACAGGATTGTGGTGTAGCTGACATGCCTTTGAAGATGCTCACTCAGTCGAGGCATTCGCAGATACACGGACACACACTCAAGCACACACGGAGAAAGGCATTATCCAATGCCTTTGGCTGCCTTAACAGCTTTCCTTTTTATCTGTTACCTCTTTTTGATCAGGGAAGCCCGCAAATAAAGCGAGATGCTTAAGTCAACATCGCATGCTGGACTGGCGCTGCTCAAAAGTCTAACTTTATGCTGGTTATGGCAGTATTAAGGTCAATATTGATTCACAGGATCCATCCCCAAAAAGAAAACTTTTTCTGTTCAACAGCTACGTGAAACTAAAGGATTGGATCTGAAGAGCTTACAGCCATTCGGAAGCTGACACCTGTACGAATTGTATTTCTTATCCTTTTCTAGGACCAGGCGCGTCTGGGATGGTATACACCCTGGTGTTTTCAATCAATTTCAGTCCAAGCAGCTTCTCATCGTCACCTTTTTTCTTTGATGTATCCCAATTTATTTCAAACTAATATATTATTCATTTATTCAAACACAATTTTGCATGCAAATAATTCTCACAGGCAAAATGATTTCCTTTATGAACTTTCAATCTGCTCGTATATCGAGTTTCCTTTCATCACATTTTTCTCAGATTTATCTCAATTTTCTTTGTTTGACATACACTGATTTAAAAGAGGTATTTTCAATTAGTTTTTCTCTTCTGCTGCCCAAACGTCTCCCAGAGTTATCAATATATTTATGCATATTTGCTTTGGTTTGCCACAAAGGGATTTCGGATAATATATTATCATTCCATACGAATTTAATTTTCCGCACTAAGCTTTGAAAATATGTAGTTTAACGAATTATGTATTTTTGTTGTGCTCTTCTTCTCCTGCCGAGCAATCCCCTTTTTTCTGTGCCACGCTTCAATATTAAGCTGAAATCCCACTAAAAACAGATTTATCCACACATGGAAAGCAACAAAAATAAAAAATATAAAAAGAAAAAGAAAAAAAGGGGGGCGAAAGGGGAAAAAGAGAAACGAGTATAAAAAGTTGGACTGCAAGTTTGCCATGCAGACAATGCTCCGACACTTATCTCATTTAATTTCGTATAATTTTTTCCTCCTTTGCAGCTCTGGCTCCATGCCACACACACACACATGGACACATGTCGGGCGTGTGGCGTGTGGCGTGTGTGCAACATTTGTGTAAGGAAAAATGAAAGAAGTGCAACTTTGTGCCATGTTTCTCATCACATTGTTGCAGTATGTGGGAGTCTGGGGGGGAATGAAATGGGGTTAGTGACGGTGAGGGGTCGCCGCCAAAGGGGTTAATGAAAAAACTTTTTCGGCTGCTGCTGGGGCTGCAGTTGTTGCCTCTGCCTCTGCCTCTGCTTTTGCTTTGCTTTGTTTTATTGCGCATTTTTGCGGTCGCGATTGTTGGATTTCAGTTGCCGTTGCTGCCTCAGACAATGGCCAACAAATTGGTGGCGACGAAACGAGTGAGGCAGGTCCCAGCTCCAGCTCCTGCACTTGTATAGATAAAAAGAAAAGACAAAGCAGTGCCGAGCAGAGCAGAGCTGTGGGAGAGCAGCGTAAGGTCGGCGAAGGTTTGGCTAAAGGAAGATAATGTGAGAGCCGAAATGCACTTAACTCATTTACGATCCGCACCGAATGCGCTTAAATAAATTAAAATGTGGCAGGCCCTGACACTTAAAGGCATATGCACAAGCATGTGCATACTCGTAGACTCTGCTACACGAGTCGAACAATCGATGCCCTGTATGTGCAATTTTGCACCTTCGCAGCATGACTGCTTGCAGTCCACAACTGTCGCGACATGTCGTCCCTTGCTCAGACTGCTTACACCACTTGCAGTGTCCACTGCTTGCTACACAAAAACTCGTTGCCTACTTATAAGGGCATCGTTTCAAATGATCATCTTACGGCATGAAAGGCTGGGATTGAATTAATTTACAGGGTATGAAATATACTGTGGAGACTGTCGCAGTGCCTCGTGTCCTGACACCGTTGTGCCGGAGTCGCTGCTTTCGCTTGAATGCCTGTGAAAGGCGCGAAAGTGTGCCAAGAAGCGAGTAACAAGAGACAGTCAAACAAAGAGTGGCAGAGCGGGAGAGCAGCAGAACGCGAGAGGCCGGCTGGGCAGTAGAGATGATGTCTGCGGAGCAATGGGTAAGCCGGTCTCAAAGGACTTGCTGCACTTAAAACATCGCGGTCGCCATTAAAAATTATGTGCAATAAGCAGCAGCAGCGACTGCGAACAAACAACAAATAATGAAATTATAATTAAAGCCAGAGCCAGAGCCGGTACTGGACCGGACCAAAAATGCTGAACGAATCTGAAAGCGAAGGCAAGGGCAGTAGCCCTACTGCCCCTAGCGGCAGGGGCAAAGAGCAAAATGAGACCATCAAGTGCACAAAATGGAGCGACCACAAAATGCAGACAACGAATTCAATTACCTTCTCAAGCCGGGTCCAGCCAAGTGTGGGCGTGGCATAATGAAGAAATTATGAAGTGCATTAAGGGCCAGAAAGGACCGCGGCGAACGGGGAGCGGTAGCGGGGAAACGCAAACAAGACGACGACGTAGTTCCAAAGAAGGGCCCAAAGAAGAAGCAGCCCAAAGGAAAATGAATACGCTGATTGAGCTGCCCTAAAGGACAGATACAGGCAGCGAGAGAAGAGGGTGACAGAGATGGAAACGGAGACAGAGCAGCAATGGCAAAGGACAGGACAATAAAGTGCAGCCAACGGCATTGAAGAAAAATGGAAAAAACAACAGCGAGCAAACATTGAGGGGGCGATGAAGCGAGAGGGCGTAGTGAGCTGCTGGGTGGGACGGTGGGAAGGTCCCACATACATACATATACATGTACATATATAGAGTAAAGACTACAGAGTAAGCCAATTACCAAAGCCAAAACGAGCAGCGGCTCCAATTTATTTTCATCTTATATATGTACACATCATTTTTGTTTTTATTATCTTTTTGTACTCCGAATACCCTCTACTAATTGGTTTCCAAGGGTATACGTCTGGGCCAGGGCTGATGGTCCACAAACACTTACAGGGTATCCATGTACCAGACTACCAGAGACTACTCTGCAGGCCCTGGTGCCCTGCCGCAAATTCTTTGCTTGTTTGCAGCTCTGCTCTTTCCTGCTTCCCTCTTCCATCGCTTATGTGTCTGTATATTTTTAGCTTTTTTCCCAGCTTTGCCGGGATGTTCTGTTCTGTTCCGCAGTGGCACCCCTGATCACCCCTGAGCCCCCAGCACTGAGCCACCACCCTTCTGGGTAATTAATTGAAATGCCTGTCGCGGCCAAGGCTGACTGAGTATTCTCGTCGTCCTTGACTTTGGGCCTCTAGTGTGGAGAGGCAAAGGAAACCAAGGGAAACTAAATCAAACTGTGAAAAACTAGACACTTAAGATCAATTAGTGTTGCAGGCGAAGGAATTGCTATTGATAAATGGCTAGAAATATTTATAAATTGAGAATATAAATAAGCAACGAACCTAAAAGCAATTAATGTTGCAAAGCGAGGGAATTAGGCTTGACAAATGGTAGGAAAAAATTCAAAAATTTCAAACAGTCTGCAGTAGGCTTAAGTTGGAGGTGAGGAAGAGGAAAGCTGGTAGTGGCAAAATGGAGCAAAGTTTGAACAGCATTTGATTATAGTGCAAACAGCTTTGAGAACTAAATTCTGTCCCCAGTGCACCACTTAGCGCGAGCGAAATTAATTATCGCCCCCACCGCATATGGGGTGCCCCCACCGCACAAAAAACGTATTTAGATTTAATTTGTGAATGAGTTTTAAACTCAATTAAAGTTGAAATCCTCAAACAAAATTTAAATGGCGTGTCATTTGATAACATAAGCCAGCGCCTTTTCAATTGGATAGAGAGTCGGATGGCGGTGCTGGTAAGGGGTACGATCTAGAGGGTTCTGGGGGGGAGGCGGTTTTTGGAGGAGGCCAACTTGTCATTCATCAAACTTTTTCAATAAAACTTTTACGCCGCTTCTCCTCGCTGGCCAACCAAGCTGCAAATCCGTCGCTCATTTCGAGAGCTAAAAAAAAGCTTTTCCCCGCGATCTGCCGCGAGATGAACTGTTGAGCGGGAAGCAGAAGGGGCAGCAGGGGCAGCAGGGGCAGCAGGGGCACCGGGGCACAGGCAGGCCAGAGTTTGAGTCAAGTGTGGTAGAGAGGAATGCGAAAGTTCTGTTTGTCGAATTGTACCGGAGAATAGAGTTTCGATTTCCATTGCCGACTCTCTTCCCAACTGTCATTGTCAACACTTTTCCAAGGCCAACATGGCCAGCATGGCCATGCCCCTGCATCTAACACCCCTTGACCCCACCAACCCCACCGACATTGGGGAGCAGCTCAGTTTGAAGCTCTTGCAAACAAATATTATACTCGTATTGTGTTCCATATCGATTTCCTCTCTGGCTTCCTCCGCATTCAATTTACAGGATGGGCCATGCAACTTTTATGTTGAGCTCATCATTTTGCAAAATGCTCAAAGGGGGAGAATACCGGAGGATGTAGGTGGCTACCACCGAACGGAACTGCACGGAGCTAGCAAGGAGCACACACAAAAACAAAACTGAATCGAGCCAAGAACGAGACGCAGATGATGAAGAACAAATTGACAAAAGAATCAGCATGAAGGACAGAACTCGGGGGCCTGAATGAACTTGGTGCTTCTTAAAAAGGAATAAAGGGACCGAGTGAGAAAGGGGGGTGTGTGGGCATGGAGTTATGGAGATTCAAATAGTTGAGCCGTAAAAAAATCAATGCAATCTTGACGTAGAGTCTGAGAGGAGGTGGGTCCATCCATTTCCATAATTAATCATGCAAGTGCCAGCAAATACATACGCACATTGTATATGAAAGGGTAAAGTGAAGGCTTTGGAAGTTCCTCAGCTCAAACGAAATAAAATTAATTTGATAGCGACCCTGGATAGCGACCGTTTAGATGCCCTGGAAGGATGGAGGGATGGAAGGAATTTCTTTGCCACGTTTTAAATGCCACTGCATAAATATGTGCACCCACAATGGCTATTCAATACTCGTAAATGACTCGTTCAAGGCTGCTGGCACACATTTTCGCATGCATAAATTGAATGAAGCGACAAAAACCGCCGCGAAACCTCAAGCGCGTTTTACTAGCGTTTTTCCGTACGCGCCCCAGCAGGCCCCAGCCAAAATTCGTACAAAAAATGTCCCTGCTGGCAGATTCATGGCCATGAATTGGCCCAAAACTCAAAGCGGCGGTTAGTATGAACTGGCATGGGGTTAGCCGTGGCAAAGAGCAGAACAAGCGGTTGCAAGCGGTTAGGAGAGAACTCACAAACGGGGGTTAACGCTTACGCTTGGAGAGGCAGTGCCAGGCCAGCACAAGAGTTGCCATCGCTACACAAAATAAAAATCGAAAAGAAAAATATATGTATAGTACTCGTATATAATATACAGATAAATCAAGGGGATAAACTGGACAAAACAAATTAGGGGGAATAAGGCAGAGGATAAATGCCTGTGGTCACAGCCCTTTTCTCCAACCGAGTGACCATGCTTCACTGCTCCTAAGTCAGTGATCAACTGCTGTTTAAGTGCACTTTGCCACAGAGAAAGCCAGCTTGCTTATAATTGCAAGCCTTGCTTTTGAATCTGTGGTGGACTCAAAGTAACTCTTGCGAGAGCCAGCAGCCTTTGCTCCTTGCTCTGGACACAGACAGACAGACAGACTGGACAGGTTAGAGAGGACTGAGTCCGTGTGGTCTCCTTGCGCTTACCAGTTTGCGTGGTGCTGCCTTGGAAGAGGTTGCGCAGATAGCTGATCAGCCGCCGGTGGAGCGGCCGGTGGCGATGGCGCGACGACTTGCGCAGCGAGGAGGACGACTCCTGGCCACCGCCACCCTGCTCCACATCGTCGGGGTCCAGCGGTGTCGCTGTGGCGCCCACCTCCTTGCCACACTGGGTGGCATCCACAATTATCTCGATGCTGCGCTGTGTATTCGACTTCTTCAGGTGACCGAGTGCTGTCATCGCTGTGCTGGTGCTGCCACCGCCACCACTTCCGCATCCGCCACCGGCACTTGTGGCAATGGTGCCAATAAGGGCGTCCGTGGCACTTGATCCGGTCCCGGCTATGCTGCTGACTTGCTGTTGATGCTGCTGCTGGTGATGGGGCTGTTGATGCTGATGATGATGCTGATGCGGATACTGCTGCTGCTGCTGTTGTTGCTGCTGGGGGATGCGGCCCGCGAGCAGCTGATGATGTGCGGCTGTCGAGGGCAGCTCGTTGACGGTGCCATTGCTGTGACTGCCCCGATAGATGAGCTCCGTTTCGTTGGTCACCTGGCGCAGGGCGTGCAGGCCCGTGTGCGAGGCACTGCTGGCCATCCCCGAGGCACTGGCTCCACCTCCTCCTCCACCTCCACCTCCACCTCCACCACCGCTCCCATTCAGACCTGTGTAGTAGGCGCTGTTGGGGCGTTGGGTGTGCTGTATCTGCGGCCCGGCCATGACGATGTTGTGTGGGTCTCTGTGGCAGCTCTTCCGTCCCTCTGTATGTCTCTGGCTCTGGCTCTGGCTCTGGCTGTGGCGTGGCTCAAGCTCTGGATCTAGCGCTGGATGGTGATGCTCGGCTCTCTAGTTGTGGACGGGGCTCTGCTTTGGCTGGTAGTTGTTTAGTAGTTTTAATTGTAGCATTCTGGCCATTCACATGGTTACAGCTGGCTGGGTTAGGTTGAGGCTGAGGCTGAGGCGTTTTGGGGCGAGTGGGGTTAAGCGTTAGCCGGCCTTGAGGCGCCGCGTCGAGTCTCTCGGCATCTGCGAGAAGCGAGTAAACAAAGACAGAAACATACCAATAAACGACTGCATCAGCAAATTATTCTTCAAAATTTCTGAATTTTCAATGCCAGCAGCGTTGCATTTTGTACTAGTGTGCGTTAGAGAGTATGTATGTGTGTGCATATGTGTGGATGTGTGTGTGAGTTATTAAGCTCGTGCAAGCAGCTATTGTATGTAATCCCAAACGTAAACAGATTACACTTTCAATACACAAATTAATCGAATAAAGATTGTTGATCGATTGAACGATAGCCACCCAAATCTGTAACCAATTCTTATAGAAACTCCCCATAACCCCCATAGCACGAATGAGAACATTTTGCCAGCATAGAGTAGGCTTTGAAATGTTTTTTTGGTTGCTGTCAGTTGTAGGAACGACTGTGTAGGTCAGTTTCGGGGCTAACCTTAGACTGAACAGTTCAGGAAATTTAAAAAATTCAAAATTTGTTGTGCGGCATTTTTGGTTTTTTGTTTTTTTTAACTTTTGTTTGTTCAAAATTAGTTCAACGCCTGTTCCTCGTTGGCCGCCACTCGTAACACCATGACGGACGACAAGCCCTTCAATCCGTTCTACATTGGCCCGCACCCGAGCAAGGCCTGCGCCATCCCCGAGATCGCCGGCCAGCAGTGCTCCCCCAACTGCGCAGAGAAGCCCACGGCATCGGGACAGCACCCCCCCCAAACTGCCCCCGGCGGAGGCATCCTCATCGTGGGCATAAGCGGACCCGGGGGCGGAATGGCCAACATCTACAGCACCGGCCAGATATCAAAGGCTACAGGCGCACCTGGGCAATCGCTTAGCACCAATTCCGGAGTACCAATCTCGGTCGGTACAGCCAAGCCTGGCCCATCCCTGGCCGCTAATGCCGGACCAAATTCAGCTAAAAAAGTCTGCCAACCCTATCCCTGCATGGAGACCAAAAATAACAGCGGTCCCGGCTGTGAATAATCAACAGAACAGAACCCCGCCACACCTACACTTTCCAGCAAGTAATTCCACCAAAGTTAGCCCCGAAGCAAAGACAATAAACCAGAAATAAGTCCGCAATAGTAGTGTTTTTCTTGAAAATGAGAGTACCATAAGAGTCATGGTTCCCCCTCCATCTTTTCCTCGAGCCGGACTAATGTTGAAGGAAGGAACGAGGATCTGATTTGACTGCAGCATCATTCCACGAAAGCATGTCCTCGCCTGGGAAAAATTATAGCTTCCACTCACACAAAGACCGAGTGCTATAAACTCCCTTGCCTGAGCCCCGAATACACCCCGAAATGCCACTGATGGAACCTCTGAATATTCAGTTTTTCAATAGATTTCTAAAAGTGCAAAAAGTGGTATACCTAAGCAGCATAAATCAGTAGAAGCTAAGCTCGAAAGTGCAACAATGAAAACGCACCGAGAGGAATCCCATTTGGGGAGTGTTATTTTCAAAGGAATGCCTTGCTTTGCAGCCGTTTCGATGGATTTTGGCCATTTGCATCATTTATGGTTCGATGGCAACTGCAAATGGATCAACAGGAGCACCAGTAGAAGCACATGGTTCGTGGCTCGGGGCCCGGGGCCCGTGCCCGTCCTGCTAGGAGTCTATCGAACGTATTGCCCTTTGCAAATTCAATGAAGTAAAAATGTATTATTTATTGATAGACTTATGCAGGTGCACAACAGCAGAAGCATCAACGGCAGGAGTTGCACAGTTTATGGCTGCATCCTTCGATGAAGACAGACCTATATACATGCATACACATGCATACACATGCATACATGTATGTGTGCGAGTGTGTGTCGATGTGTGCTCGTATTTGTCCCGGTACTTGGGAAAATTGCTGCCGCTGGTGCTGCTTTCCTTGGAAGCACCTGTTTACCGAATGATTTATGCATTTTACCCATTTTGCTGTCGACGTTTGCACGCGCAACAAAACTAACAGGCTGCACCAACAACACTAACAAAAACAGTTAATGTGATTTTCTTGTTAAATGCAAGTCGCGGGAAAAATGGTGCACTTTGCTGTCTGTGTTTACTTTCCCCCGCGCGGGGTCCCCCCCGGGTCCCCCGATGGTCGTCGGTTTGTTAAGCTCTTTAAGTAATTTTGAGATTTTGGGAGGGGTTCCTAAGAGGGGTTCACAGCTAAGATCTTTTATTCAACTTTTGATGATACCTGTTTTCTGGCAGCAAAACCCTTAAATCAACCCGAAACCGCACTCCCATTTCCACTGTATTTAAATTTCATGAGTACTGGAGGTGCCTGAATGGCTCTCAATACGAATGAGTGTGTGTGGGCCAATTCCATTTGGCCACATTTCCAACTGTCAACAGATCGAGTGCAGCGGCAATAAGGGAAAAAGGAAAGGACAATGACAGCGTCGTAGTCGAGGGAGAAACTTAATTTATTGAAATGTCGGAAATGTAAGCGTTAAATGCGCCGCCGCACGAATGCGACGAATGTAAAAACAAAGCATAAATATCTATTAAAATGAGATTGAAATAAATTACAATTTACAGAGGAGCGCCATGCGAATCGAGGGAATGGAAATGTCCCGAAGTAGCAGTAGAAGTAGAAGTAGAAGGAGCACGCAATTACCTCTCCATTCCAGCCACTTCGAGCCTTCGTTCCTTCGTTCCGCAAGTGAAGGTCAGGTGGCAGTCTCGGGCTGGCTTAAGCCTGCCCAGGCATTGGATTGCAGGGCAAACACTTCGATGGCTGGGAGGAAAATCAACGATGTGAACAGAGGGAAATTAAGTGCAAGCACGGGTACAAGTACAAGTACAAGTACAAGTATAAGCCCGGGTATGGGGCTGGCCATGGACAAAAGGACTCGCATACTTACGAGTTGACGCACTTAAGCGTGAGGCTGGAGCTGAGGCTGAGGCTGCGGCACCGATTGCTATGAAAATGGAAACGGCAGAACCGAAACGGTAAAGGAAATGAAGCTGAACTTTATTATAACAATACACAATAATCGTGTGCAAGCTTCATTTTATGCTCCTCCTGATTTCCTCTCTCTCTGCCTCTGCCCCTGCCTCTGCCTCCGTCTTCGCATTTTCCTGCTTCCGCCTGCTACCTCATCCTTTTGATGATTTTGATGAAGTGTGGCGGAAAAAGGAAAGCGGATACGCCGCTCCAAAGGTAAACTGCAGCGGAAGCAAGCCCTCACAAAATGGTGATGGAAACAAATGCATACGATGCGATACTTTTGCAGCTTGTTCGCGGTAAATGATCGACTCAGGGGAGATACCCTGTTGCCACAGCCAGACATCAAGTGTGCTTAAAGTTTGAGAATCGAATGACAACCCCAAACCCCACCCAGTTCGGGAGAATATGCCATTAATGGCCCAGGAAGATGCGAGTACGAGTGGATGCTAATTGATTGCAGACGAGCAAATTTCTCCCAGTGCATGCACGTACATTGTACGGCAAGGCGCTTAACTAAACAAGCAGAAAACGTGCAGTCAGGCGACAACTGCACTCCTCCTCTGCCAACCACCGACCACCCACCACCCACCGCCCTATTCCCCCGCATTCCCTTCATTGCCCGCTGCGGTAACAGCGCCACTGCTACTCCGGTGCTCCTTCGTCACGAAATCCCAGTAAAATGTCAAGTGCACTTCCAGCAGCAGGAGCAACAGCAGCAACAGCAGCAGTAGTATACTTGAACCTCCTCCGCCTTCGCTAGCCTCACGCTGCTCTTGCTGCATCCTGCATTCCCGATAGCCTTGCCAAGGCTACCTTGTCGCTCTCCTCGCGGCGCCACACCACCACTTCCTGGACTGAGCTTCAGGTTGGAGCGGGAGCTGGAGCTTCAGCTGGAGCCAAGCAGCGTATCTATAAGTATGCGCAATATTCAAACGGGAAGGTAAAAGGAAATTGGATTTTTGTTGACATTATTTTACAAATATCCGGACCACACAAACACTAGCAACAATGGACTTTGGCGGAGTCACTTTGGTCAGTGCCACTCTCGTGTCGAGTCGAGTCGAGGCGAGGCGAGGATGATGATGATGCTTGCGACTGCTCCTCCAAGGACGACCACACCGGCTGCTCGTGCTTCTGCGGCACAGATTTTCCACACTGAAATATGTATTCCTCTCTTTGGCAGACCCCCACACATGCTGGGGCAAACATATCTTGGTTTTGCATAATAAATTGCGTTCCGTGTGCGAGAGGCTGGCAAAAGTGCCAGAAGACAATGGCAGTCGTCGAATCTGGAGATGTGGCAGCGGTACGCGTACCCGTAGATGGGTCTGAATCCATGGCATCTGCTGGCAGACACTCCGAAAGCCCCCGCCTCCGCCTCCACTCTTTAGTGTGGAAAATTACGCAGATATTCACAAGCTTAACGAAAGCTCCTTTCAATTCAGAAACTCGCATATATTTCTTAATAATTTCCAACTGAATTCCCATTTTATTTGGATTAGTTCCTCTCGTTTTGTTCTATCTGTTAGCGTTAGTGGCCATCCTCTGGTCGATCCAATTGTTTCATTTGTTTCATTTGGAGATTGGCTCTTTCTCTGCCTCCCTTTTCTCTTCCTCTTTCAGTATAAAGGAAACTGCAGGAAAACTCGGCTGGGCATAGGGAAAGTGCGCTTTATGCTCCTGAATCCTGAATCCTGAATCTGTTTTGGTTTTTCGAGTGCCTCCGGCTGCTGCTGAAAGCAGAAACCAATCAAATTTCCATGTTTGATTTATTTGATGAAAAATGTTGCATGCGCTTTGGTGTTTCGCTCTCTTTCGGCTTTTTTGGCATTTTGTGAATGCGAATGGGAATGTGCCCCGCCTTGCCTGGGCTTGCCGCAAAGCAACGCCGCTTTGTTTTGGGGGCAATTTTGGTTGCTTGGTGCCTGGTGACATGGAAGGACTGCAAATTGTGTGCTGGAACACACACACACACACAGAGCCAGTTGGAGAGGATAAAACACGCACTCTTACAATCAAGTACCGTTAGACAGTCAGTGGGTGGAGGGGGGTAGTCAGTGAGTCGGTCG